GTTCCAATTAAAGATCGACAAGGCTACTAGATCGTCTACCGATGGAGCTTGTACCAGTTCATTCAGACGATCGTGCAAGCATCCATTCAGGCTCTTATACAATTGCCTATCACTTGTTTCCATTAACTTATTTCATACCCCTCGATACATAAGGCAGGGTGACCCCATGTGTGAAAGAGTCGCTTATGATTCCAGCACTCGCGTCCAAGGCGTACCACCCTGATCACCTCTACATATAAAAAAAGCAAATACTTTGGAAAACGCTTCAACGCACAAATGGCTTGTTTCGTCTTTACAGGTTGGTCAACTCCCACCAAAAGATGAGCACAAAGTATTACTAAGTAAAGTATTACTACTAAAATGACTTCAACATCTGTTGTAACGACGATCCATCTGGAAACAGCATAGGTATAGGCAATTGAAAGCTACTTCAAATTCTGACCGGAACTCGATCACCTAGCTTCACCTGAAGGAGTGAGTCTTTTTCGATTTGCCTTGAACAAAACGCATCGGAAAAGCCACGGAATACCACGAGAAGAATCACCTAGGTGTTCTGAAGGAAGTGCTCCATAACGTGGTTCTGCTCAAAGCACTTGGCAGAGCACCTCGCGAACAATAAAGATGAGGCCAAGAAAGCCATATTAAAGTCCATATTAAAGCTCGATGGTTGCCCACGAAAACTCCCTTGCCTATTTACCTACTTACCCCTGCTTACGAACTAGCGCCTTTCAGTGCTACTCGTGAGAAAAAGGACTAAACAAAACTGATAGACTACGGTGAAACAATTTAGCTCATCCTATGCATAATCCACTCTGAATGAGTATAATCTTTTCTTTCGTTCACGTCAGAAACAGGTAAGAAATGCCGTTCCACAAATGATGTCAAATCTGCCCCCCCCCCACTAGCTTAGTTTTGACGTTAAAAACCCGCTAACTGAAAAAGCGTGGGCAGTTCTCCCTCAGCACTAGAAAGGGATATGTTTTCTGAGTCCTGCTAGCTAGTAAAAAGTTGCTGTTGTAAAAGTAGATGCGAAAAAAACTGCGTTTCTATTCTTTTACATAACAGATCGTATAATTCCGAGCATCTTCTGAACGTCAGACTGGGTATGCTAGGAGAGGTGATAACACCTCAAGAGGTAGATCTATCACATATCATTATTTACGATCTTGCCATAGCAGGTCAGTAGATATGGCCTGCTTTAAGGTGTTGCTGGCTCGTTAAGTCGTTGCCCCAACTCTTCTCAGTGGGTTTCGTAAAAAGTACTATGGCATAAAGTACTATGGCTGTGCTTTCCCTTAAGAAACTGCAAGCCTTTCACTGATTTTGATCAGATCTCCCACCCTTTGATCACTGGGGCCCAGCATTCTTCGATTTTATGTTAACATTGATTTCCTCCTTCTCGATTCGACTTTGTGGTCTCATTACTTAATGCATCACTTCTTATTTTTTTCTTCAGCATAAATCCGCCTTGTTCACCTTCATCACCTGGTAATTTTTGTTGAGGCTCGGCTTAAAAATGTCCCCTCAGACATAGGCAGTTCTGAGTAGAACGACCAAGATTTTCACCGATTTCTGCTTGGACTTAGTCACAAGACGAAGTACAGATTAGTGTGAAATGAGGTTTTTTGCGTTACGCAGGCACCTACTGTATTGCATGTTTTTGGTAATCATAACAACAAAAAACTGTCGCCAAATAATTGTATGAATTATGCCCTAAACATAGGTTGCTACCGCCGTACAAAGCTTTGCTTCTAGACAGGGTGGGGTGGACATTCACAGTCGCTAAAGGAGGGTAGAATTTTTCTGACAACTAAAAGCTTTAATGCGTGTGACTTCTATCTCATATCCATACTTCGCTTGTGGCCTGCGGACTACAGGGCTAGTCTGGGCTGGACAAAAAGCTTACAAAAGCGACTCCCTCTCGAAATCCTCTCCAGGCAAATTCACTTTCCCATACCCCATCACTGCTACCAGCCCCTAATCTCCCCAACTCCTGAACTTTCCCAGTTCAGAAAATTCTTTGTTTCCCCTAAAAACTACGACGAGAAGGACATTCGAGACATGTAGTAAATTTTCATCCGCGTTATTTTCACGCATAAAAGCACACGCGATAAAAAAGCTCCTGACACTCATCAAAAGTATCGGACGAATCCGAAGGGATCTTCGAGGCCTGAGTACTTTCAAGGTGGAAAAATACGAGCAAGAACTGTCGCTAGGAGGCGACTAATTAGGCCCCATGGACCACCCCTAGGCCCATCAGAACTCCAGCGCTACCAGTTACTCCGCCAGTAGCCACTAATTATCTTCTCTAATTCGAACAGCTTTTTTCTGGCTCTTCTCCGCAGTCCAGATACTAGCACATTTTTTGTGGCCTTGAGTTCGTTCCCGAGCAATTGCGGTCGCAACTGCATTTAAGGACTAGTGATCAACATTAATCCTAGTAACAGCATATTTTGAGAGCATTTTCATGCCTCTCCTCTCCCCAGAGTATAGAGTAAGAGATATGATGTTAACTTCCATTTTAGCGGGCCGCCCAGATTCTTCGCGCTGACGGCTCCCGCTGTCCTTTGTATCAAGTTCATTTTTCTAAATATTGGGTTAAATGTTCCTGCTCACAAATGACTACCGGTTATCGAACCATCCTCAGATAATCATCGTGACGGTTGGCTCTCGATTACCGTCAGGCAAAGCTTCCAAAAACGATATGATCAAGTGTCCTTGGGTGGTGGTTAGTTGTGTGTCGTTGTGTGGTGTGTGTGGGGTGTGTGTGGTGTGTGTGTTGAACGAACATTCATAACGATCAAAGGAAACTATGTAGCTGCAGAAAGAGAAACCGCTGGCAATGGCTTATAGGCCTAAAATAGGTACATCAGCAAATAAATAACTCGCGTCGCAGCATCACTGGAACTTTGTTCCAAGTATGATGTAGGACTTGCACGTGAACTCACTGTGTATGTAGGCAAGTCATAACAACGACAAGCGACCCCAAAAAGAGGGTCAACCCAAATCGCACCAAGATTAAATCCACTAAGTCACTGGTTATGTCACCATTCAAAATCAGTCATCAAAAAGTGGGCCGTATTTTGAAACATGGGAAGTCAGGTCAAGAGTTGGGTGTCGAACCAGAGAACCTGTCAGTGATCAGGACCGCAAGCTTAACCGTCAGCGTCAGCCAAACTGGTGTGATATATTCGGTGCAAAAAAAGTCGCGATGCCAAGTCGGCCCTGGCAACGGTTGTACGCCAGATAGAACTGGTGTTGGAAATGAATATGATATCCGTAATCAGCACCCCAAATGAACCCCTTGCGTAAAATCTTACCAGCTGTCGTAGAAATGTAGCCCCGCTGAACTGACGCTGATTCGTGCCATTCTAAAGCTAGCGCCAAAAACGAATGTCACCTTTTGTGACCAACGTCCATTGCAAACAAGGCTTGGGCAAAAAAAGCTCGAAATTTCGGGTTATTCGAATGCAGACGGGAAAACAACTTTCTTCCGCGTGTTTGTGCATAGCCAGTACCGCAAGCGCTCGTACAAGCAGAACACTCAAAAGAGTAGGCAGGAAAGTATTAGGTTGTCCCAAAAGTTCGTGGAACTTTCGAACATTTTTTCGAGTTAAGTTTATTCCAGTGGGAAGCAATTTTGATCAACTATATATATGTCACCTTCATTGGCAACTTGTTGCCAATCACTACGCAATGTGTGGTTGCCCTGCTTCCAGAAGCCTCTTAGTTCTGTGCCCAGAAAGGCAGCTGGGTCATTTTTGAGGTACTTTTTCCCCGGAAAGAATGTGCCGCTTGTGGATCTGATTGTTGGAGGGCGATCGAAAGAGCTGAGTCAAGCGTACACTGTGATGGACTCCCCAGTAAACTTCCAGATTCCGCAGCGGTGTCGTTTTCAATGCTTTCGACCTGCAGCTGTGATGGCACAGTAGGCAACAGTGCTCGGTTTTGGGACAAATGTTAGAGCGGTAGAGATTTTCAACCCCTCTTGCAGTTGATTACAATAGGGTTTCCTGGTTACCACAGCGTTGGAAGGAAGAAATTCCGTTTGGGAAGGGAGAAAGAAACCCCACCACATACACAGTCTCACCGCCCTACTGGATTGATAGGATTGCGCTTCTGCCCTTTCTGGGGGATCTAGCCGCTGGCGCTCCCAGGAGTGATTCACCTAGAGACACCTACTCCATTACAGTGCTGTTCAACCAGCCGTACAGCGGAAGCGGGAGAGAAGTTGTAGACAGTACCCACATGTGCTCCCCTTGGAGTACTGGTCAACTCATGAGAAAAATTTTGACCGAACTTCAGAACTTTTCTAAGGAAGCGAGGCCCTCTCTCATTTGTGCTTGGGACCAGTCAAGTGTAAGGACTAGATAGCAAGTTGATTTGTACGAATTGGTTTTAATCAAGGAACACAGTAGGTCCAAATCCAAGGCAGGTGGCCTCCTTGGACGAAGTTTTTCTCCCAGATAGAAGTCACTAAAGCGGAAGCAATTGGGCCATTTCAAAGCCGTACTGTGGAAGGTAACATCAAGATCTAAATAAGGGAAATGCCGCTTATGGCTCCAACCACGTTGTGGCTTGGTAGAGATTCATATAGCGAAGTGTGTCGAAAATGATGAATTTCAATTACCGAACAGCGACTGCGAGGGACGGTAAAGAAGCTGTGGGATGCTTACCTAACACACTTCCCATAGACCACATAACTGGATCTCGAAATGGCTAAGATCTGATACGAGATTCAAAAAATGTCCACGAACTTTCGGGACAACCTAATAAGTAGCACGACCTTCTAGTGTATTATCTGCTAGTCAGCACTGCAACAGTCAGCATCAGTTCTGCTGGTGATTTAGGGCTTTATCTCAGTGACTGTCTGTCTCAGATGCTTGTTTGACCATTTGCGTTTTCGTCTTGCCACGTTCCTAATACGCCTTAGGTTTCTAAATGGACTTCGTTTCTCCTAATTGGTGCGGGGTGGACGTGAACATGCCCTGGCTTGGCGAATGGCGAAATCTGAGACCGTGGAGAAAGTATGGATTGCACCGGGTAATGGAGCCGACTTCGAGAAGCCAGGTACAATATAGTTATACATACTTTCGTACCACTGACTGTAGCTAAAGCGGAAGTTATCGAGAATTTGAAGGTGATTATTTTATTTAGATATCGATACAACAAATGCAGACGATGTGGTAGAATTCTGTCAACGAGAAAATGTGTCGCTTATAGTGGTAGGACCAGAGGGGCCTCTAGCAGAGGGTTTCGTTGACCATATTCACGACCGAGTACCCGTTTTCGGGCCAACACGTGCTGGAGCTCAGTTGGAGGTGAATTCCTGAATCCTCTGTCGGGTCAGCTCTTTTGTGAGTTAACAGATGTCTGTCCATTACAGGCTTCCAAAGTGTTTTCGAAGATGTTTATGAAGAAATATGGGTTACCAACCGCGGAATTCGAGTATTTCTCCGATATTGCCGATGCTGAAGCCTTCATAGAAAAGTGAGATTCCGAATTATTAGCCGAGAAATGCGGCCGTAGTAAGCATCTCAAAAACGTGGAGCATTTGACTTCCGCGGACCG